ATAGTCGGGCCTGATACATTCAAAGGCATTGCTTAAGATTTCTATATCGATGTTAAAAGGAAGTGCCAAATTTTTAATATTCTCTTGTAGTTTCCCATAATAGTCAGATTTTTTCCCACCCATTTTTCACCAATCATGCTAACTAATTACCTTTGTTACTTATTGTATTTTATACTACACTCTTTTTTTTATTACAAGTTCTATACCAATAAATCATTTTGTAGTTTTTTCTCGAGATAAGAATATATGATTTATATATTATAGTCCTTTCACTATTATATCACATTTAATCTCTAGATTTATATTTTTCATATGTTCAGAAATTTAACAGTAAACATTCTTAGAATTCTCTATTATTTCAAGTTATAAAAATGTTAAGATTATACAATGCTATTATTTAATGTTTATCTTAATATTTAATTCTTTTTTTATGTGTTAGTCTAGAATTAAATAGTGGAATGAGAAAATATTATGACAACTATTCTTACTTCTAATATTCTACAATTCGTGATTTTTCTGCCATGGTTTTATAGAATTTTGAGATTCTCATTCGTCATACTCACAAGCTTATATTGTATTAGCGGAGGTAAAGAATACAAAGGATATAAAATGATTGAAGTGACTATCCATGATAAATATGATTTAAATTATTTAGTAAAAATATATAAAAGATCTATTTTGAAAGGGTAAGGTAAGTTATTTTAAATTGCATGATTTAAGTTTCATTATTTAAGGGAAGATGTTGAATTTTTGAGTAAACCACTGCATGTTGGACAAAAGTTGAATTTGATAGTCGGCCCTGATACATTCAATGACCTAGCTATAAATTTCTATAATTGCGATGTTAAAAAGAAGCGTCAAATTCAGCCTGATGATTCAACGGAGGAATGGTATATGATGAATCATGAAAAAATGAAGATAATGATCCCTGAATTACAAACTCACTTTGACATAGAAAAGCAGAAAAACGTCGAAATTCTATTAAATCTACATGAGACCTTATCTACCCAGGCTTATAATAGGTTGGAAAATATTTATAATTGGTTACACGAACTCGAAAGGGACTATCCAACAAAAGCAAAAGTATTAGATATAGGTTCTACTTGGGAAAATAGATCAATAAAAGGTCTACTTTTGAGTCAAGATCTCAGTATTCAAGACAAACCTAGCGTATTGATAATCGCTGGAGAACATGCACGAGAATGGATAGCAACAGCAGTAGCTATTAATCTTATTCATTACTTGCTGAAAGACCCTACTAGCAATTATATGACTTCTCAATTAGATTGGTTTATATTCCCGATTGTTAATCCAGATGGTTATGAGTATTCCTTTACTACTGCCAGGTTATGGAGAAAAAATAAAAGAAATGATAGTACCATAGATATTGCTAGTTCTATTAAAAACATATTTACCAAAGTTAAAAAAAGGGAATCCAGAGATGATTCCATCCCATGCATAGGGGTTGATTTAAATCGAAATTGGGACATAGGTTGGGGTAAAGACATTCAAGTTTCTCTGGCTCAACAAATTGAATACACAAACACATGTTATGAGCAATTTTCGGGACCTCACCCTTTTTCTGAGCCAGAAACAGTAGCTGTAAGGGACTTTGCTCTAGAGCATAAAGATAAATTGGTTTTCTTTTTGAGCCTTCATTCATGCGGGCAGTTGATTTTGTTTCCAAATGCTTATACCAACGAAATAACTGAAGATCACGAAGAACATATGCAAATTGGAAAAGCCATTGTACAAACTATAGAGGCTATAAATGGGACGATATACGAATATGGGCAAGCCAGTGTGATTTTATACATAGCTCCAGGCTCTAGTATGGATTGGATCTACAAATATGTCAAAGTTAAGTACTCTATGGTGATTGAATTGAGAAACAAACATAAATATGCATTTTTGCTGCCCCAAGAACAAATCTCACCAACGTCGATAGAAATATTTACCGCTCTAAAAGTTTTGTTTCCTGAGCCAGGAAAAAATAATAGAAACTTTACTGGTCTAAATTTGTTAGATGATTTTATTAAATTAAAAGAAAATTATAAGAAACATGCATTCATGAACAAAAGATCAAAGAGAACTAATAAAATGTTGATTAGCTATAAATATCAACAAATATTGAAAGGAATACTTTTTATTTCGGTAATATCTATCATTATATCATTTTTATACTACAAACAGTAAATCATTTCTATAAAATATTGCAATTCCCTAATCTTCATTTTCTAAATTGTTGGAAATATTAGACCGGTTTGTATGATTAATTTTTAATAAATAATGTTTTTTTAAACATCCCATGATTGTTTAGCCTGAATCTTTACCATCTATTTAATCTAGAATTACTATACCAAAATTATTCATTTGGGCATATTATACTTTAATGTTCCTTAGCTTTTAAATATCCCAACATATTTAGGATTCTTCCTTAACCCCTCTTTAACCAAACATGCTAACTAATTACCATCATTCCTTATTATATAACTTTCAAAAAACTCTACTCATAGTCATTTTCTACCGTTGCAGATCGTAAAATCTAAATATCACAATCCTTTTATATCACGTACAATCTTATCGATATTTATTTTTAATACATTCAGAAATTTTACATTAAACCTTCTTAGAATTCGCTATTATCATTTCAAATTATAAAAAATGGTAATATCATACAATGATATTATTTAGTGCTACTTTTAATATTTCATGCGTTCTTTATGTGTCAGACTATATTTAAATAGCAAAATGTGAAGATATTATGACAATTATTCTTATATTTAATATTCTAAATTTTGAGTTTAGTATTCGTCATACTCACAAGTTTATATTGTAATAGCGAGGGTAAATAATACAAAGGATATAAAATTATTTAAGTGGCTAACCATGATAAATATGATTTAAATTCTTTTAAAAAAATATAAAAACGAATTTGGAAAGGGTAAGTTTTATTAAATTGCCTGATTTTAATTTCAATATTTAAGGGCAGATGTTGATTCAACGACCTTACTACAAATTTTTAAATTGAAGTGTTGAAAAAAATATACCAAATTCAGCCAGGTGAAAAGAGTGGTATATGATGGATCAGGAAAAAATAAAAATAATGATCCCCTAATTACAAACTTGACATCGAAAAAGAAAAAAAAGGTCTAAATCCCATTAAATCTCAATTATACCTTATCTCTCCAAGTATATAGGTTAGAAAATATTTATAGTTTACAAGAACTTGGAAGAGACTATCCAGCAAGAGCGAAATTTTATGATATAGGTTATACTTGGGAAAATAGATCAACTAATGTCCTATTTTGAGTCAAGATCTCAGTATTTAAGACAAGCCTAGCGTATTGATAATTGCGTGTGAATATGTCCGTGAATGGATAACAATAGCAGTAGCGATTAATCTTATTGACTATTTGACAAAGGACCCTACTAGCAATTATATGACTCTCAATTCGTTTGGTTGTAATTCCCGAATGTTAATCCATATGGTCATGAGTATTCCTTTACTTACAACATATGGAGAAAAAAAGAAAAGAAATGAGAATAATATAAATTTTATTAGTTTTATTAAAAACTCATTTACGAAGAATAAAAAAAGGAGAATTAAAATTATTCCACTACATGCATATGTGTTGATTTAAATTAAAATTGGGATATAGGATGGGGGTACGACATTCAAGCTTCGCTGCAACAAATTGGATTCACAAACTCGTGTGGCAATAATTTACGGGACGCTTTCCGAACCGGAAACTGTAGCTAAGGAACCCTGGAGTACACAGAATAATTGGTTTTCTTTTTGAGTTTTCATTTAATTGTTAATTTTGATTCCAAACTTTTATTCCAAAGAAATAACTGACTAAGAACCAAATTAAATATGGAACAATCATACAAATATGGCGAGGCGATGAGATTCTATACACAGCTCCAGACACTAGTTGGATTAGTTAAATTCTGCGGAAATTATGGAGAAAAAAATATTTGAAATAAAAAAACTGTAGAAAAACAATCTCAAGGGGAAAAAAACTTAAGAATAGTTTTATAAAATATTTAAACACGTCATTTATTCATTATTATATTTGAAAAAAAAAATCGAATATCGTCTGTGGCCTAATCGATGAGTGCGTTGATCCGCAGCAAGGGTCATGTTTTTTGCTGAAGCCAACTTGGTGGTACAGTAGATTGAACTCGACCACATGATTCCGTTAATGTATATTAAAAAAATAAGTGTGATTTATATTGACAAAATTTGATCGTTGTTTGGGAAATGGCATGCATGCATTATCACTAGCCTTAAATATCGCACTATTTTTTTAAAAAATATATGCAGATTTATTTTCCGGAGACTTTTATTCTTATAGAGATTTTTCTCGTAATTTTTTATTTCAAAGTTTGTTGTTTTTTGTAATTATTTTTCCCAATTTAATATTCCTAAATTGTCCTTGAGATTTTTTTTCCTATTTTCTTCTAAAAGTTTCTTTTCCGCACTTTATTTTCCCGTAGGTTTTTTCTGCAAAGTTTTTTGGTCGAGTTTTTTTTTCTCAGACTTTTTGCCCATTACTCCCAAGAAGAGATTTCATCTAAGTCGATCGAAATATTTAAAGTTCCAAAGGTTATGTTTCCTAACCAGGGGAAAGGAATAGAAGTCTACCAGATATAAATTTAAAGAAAATTATTGGAAACGTTTGCCAAAAAAGTACCAGTGAGAGGATTAAAAATGTTTACACTACAAGTATCAACAAATTATCTTAGTAATGTTTTTTTTCCTTTCGTTAACACTTATAATTTTATCATTTATATACTAAAAATAATTGAAAAGCTATTTTTCATTTAAACTAAATTGTAAATAACACTGGAAATCCCTTGAGATGGACGGTTAAATCGATTCTAAATGAAGTATATTTGCTTTTATAAAACATATACTTCCCATTTCATTTTAAACCTTTAATTATAAAAAAATTATTAATAATCATTATAATTTTTTATCCCAAAATAAATTATCACGGTAAAGCCATATTCAATTTTTTCTTACTATTTTGTGATAACATCTCTGGGAATATGATGTCAAAGATTACTATGATGTCACCTCTCTTATCTAGTTCCTTTTTAGAATTAGAATTAAAATTAGTAGTTGAATCGGTTGAGTAAGGTAGACCTTTGCCTGTTATTCTGATCTCGGATTTGGTATGCAAGACTTTATTCGAAACCTCCAACCTATAAGTTTGTCCATTACCTTCCAACAAGGGTACACTAATTGCTACCCCACATAAGGCTTCTTTCAGGCTAACTTTAGCTACGTACTTTAAATCTTGTCCCCACGTGCCTTGTCTAATGAATAATGGGTGAGGTTTTTCGTGTAATATAAATATAATGTCGGCTTGACAACTTTCACCCGGCATCTTATTTCCCGCTTTAGGAAACACAATTTGGGAATCATTTCTCACTCCTGGCCTAACCTTGATTTCCAGTATTCTTTCGTTTTCTCTTTTATTTTATTAAAAATTATTATTACGATTAAACTTCAGGTAACCAATAGATGGAGATTTTTTTTCGACATGTGGAATATATATATAAGGGCTCAGTATTAATAGCTAGGAGAGTAAATGTTATAAAAGTTAATGTAATGTTATCAGGCACGTAGTTAGCGAAAAGGGGATAATCCTCCCTCTCCTTGTAGCAAAAATTTTGAAAAAATATATGATAGTTTCATAAGAATTGCAAAGTATTCTCAAATAGGCTATATTCTATTCTAAATATTAGCTAAAAGAAAATTAATTAAATATTTATTCCTTGTATAGCAATATTTTATCTCACGAAAATTTAAATTATATTTTCTTACATTTTTTAAACCTTAAACACTGATGGATATTATAAAATTTTATCAACCAAAAAAAAATTTATTAAAAAATTTCTTCCGTATATGAAATGTTCAGATATCCAAATAGACAGAATTTGCTGAATATAATTATTTATGGATCTTCTTGTGTTACAGGAAGAAAGAAACTGCGAAAAGCAAACCCGACAAGATAGGGCCTTCGACCGCTATCAAGCTTTTACAGCATTTTATGTATCTTGATTAGTCTATTTGAAGTGCACTTGGGAAAATATCGGAATGGCCCGTATTATTGGATTTAATGTTAGTGGCAATTTTTTTCATTGGAATGTGTTAATAAATTATATATTACATAACAATTTTAAGCAATAATTTTCAAAAAAATGATATGTATTTGGCTGAAGGTATGAGAATTGCAAATATTATTATATTACAACTTAGAAAACTAAGAGATAATATCGACTAAGAATTTCTCGAGATTTATGTGATTGTTGAGGCGATGCGAAGTTATATGATACCGACAAACAAATCGTTCCAATAATAACGTGGACTCAATTAAGATTTTTATAATATAACTGTTTTTATTCCCCTTTTGGATACATTTTTGACTCAAATCAATGAACTATTTGTGATTTAACATATGGCACCATCCAATTTACGAATACTATATCTTTAAACTCCCTCTGATCTGAGGATATACTAAATCTTGATATGGATAAATTAAATATTTAGCTAATCTTATTCAGAGGATATAAATGTATCTGAAGGCCATTTAATTTCAGAATTTAAATGGTTTGAAAGATTAAATTTAATAGATAATCCTCCAAGAAATACACTGTAAGTATATTACATAGTTTAAAATAAATTTTATGAGTTTTTCCAAATATATTAAAATTCCTCTATATTTTGGCAATTATACAAGCACAAATGAGAGAACCTTTTCTTCATTACAGAGAATAAATACTTATCTCAAAAGTATGACATCTTAAAATCGATTGCTAGCTTTACTAATATACATATACATCGAGACCTAACCTAACGCAGAATAAATTATTGAAAAATTGGCGCAATGGCAAAGAAGATGAAATTTTCATTTATATATACTATTATTTTGATTAACTTATTAAATTATAATATGTTAATTTGATTTGTATACCGCTTTATATAGCTATAATATTTTTTAACAGTATTATATTCGCTCTTAAATATTTTTCCCAATATTCTATTAATTGTGTTTGAAATTATCATATTTTCAAATATGATTGGTTCTAATAAATTTTATATGATTAGTTCTAATAAATTTTTAAAGCTCCAAAAAAACCATTATAATATAAAAAAATTACCCCCCCCCCCCCCGCTTCTCGTATAAAAGTTAACATTTTTTAAATAATTTTTTTTTTCAATTGAAAAAACACCTTCTGTGTCAAAATCTGTTTTTGAAAAATTGAAAAAGTTTTAAAATTTTATAGAAATATATTTTGGACATGTTTTTATTTTTAGGATGCTTAATTCTTCTTTTATGATAAAGTTTCAAAAGTTTACGAATTTAACATTTTTTAATATTTTGGAAACAGCCATAAGAAAAAATAATCATTTTTTTTCTTTACTTCCCCACGCTTATTAGAATGACTTTGTATAAGCAATTATATATTTGGTTTCTCTATTTATTTTTTTTGAATGTAATAAAAAAAAACATACCAAAAATATCTATTGCATATTGCCCAATATTGGCATGATTTTTTCTTTCATTTATAAAAAAAAATAAGCAATATGGTCGTCTCCTGGTTTGATTTATTTTTGTTTAGCCTAGGCTAAACAACTTCTGAACTAGGACATCCTATTATGATTTGTTTTAAGTGTTGGTGGCATTGCCATTTTTTGTAATTTATTTTCTGGCTTTTTTTGTTGTTTATTTGGGTTTTTTTAAATGTACTTCTTAGGCTATTTAATTAAAGCTGTATAGCCGTAAGCAGCCGGCTGTTTAGTAATAAGTCGAACTTGAACATGGCCTATTAACTTTAATTCCCGATAATATTTTAACGCAATAAAAATAGATTTTTCTTATCATAGTAAAAATAATTTTTTTTAACGTAAATCGTAATAATTATATTAAATCATTTTTTAAAAAAAACAACAGAGCGCCGAAGCATGCGCAATTAGAGAAACCTATATTGTAAATATTTACAAAATATTTTGGTCGTTTGATTGTTATAATGATTGTCTCCTTTTTCATGTAAAACTGAACGAGTTAGGAATATAATAATTTTCAGTATAGTGAGTCTCTATCTATCATAACATTAACATAAATTAAAATTTTTCAAAATTTATCTAGCAATGTTTTTTTTTGAAATATTATTTTAATTTCCATTCCGTCTTTTTCATCAGTTACATAATGTTTTGGATCAAATTTATACGATTTGAAAAAAAAAACGATTTTGACACATTATGACCTTTTAAAACTCATAATATAGAAATAATATATAATACTATTAGTTTAAAAAAGCATATAAAGATATTTTTTGACTTGGTGGAAAATGGTTAGATAGTCACTCTTACAGTTTTGATTGTGTGAAAAGATAAAATATGTGATATCATAGTTTTTATTTGAGACAACCATCTTAAAGATGTTGTGTGGGGGGGGGGGGGGTTGCTTTCAATTTTGGATCTAATTTCTTTTGAAAAAATTTAAAATAGACATCATATTCTGAAAATACACCTCAAATAAATAGTTCTATTCTTACTGACCCCTCTAACCTTCACTAATCCTATTCTATTTGAAATTCTATTTGAAATTCTATTTTTCAGTTTTTTTAGTGCTGTTTAGTAACACATTACTTTTAAAAAATAAAATAAATTCACGTGTTACTTTTTCATTAACTTTATATTTTATTAGTATTTTAATCATTTTTATTATTTTATGTGCATTTATTCTGAAAATTTTATCAATGTTAGTGTTTAAATATCATTTTAATCCGGTTGGTTTACAAAATAAAATTTATTAGTAAAATAAGTAAAAATTTCTAAAATTAGCATCATGCCAGAATGGAAAACATTGAAGAGCTAAATATCTCGTTTATGCTGATATTTATTGCCTGACTAGTACTTATTAATTTCTCAAACAGTTTAGGGAACCATAAGAAAAGAAACATAGTTATAAACAAAATGAATACTATTAGGTCACGCTTTAAGCATGAAGTGAACCAAGCTTTTGGAAACATTAATTCTGAAACTTACACCAAATTATTAAGTAGCTCTTAGGTTAATATTTAATGCCTTATTTATTAATTCTTCAATCAATTTGGCAACCAAAAAAGGTAAAGGAATTATAAGCCAAATAAAAATTATGATTTCATGTTTTAAGCATTAAGTTAGCCAAACTTCTGATGGCCATAACTCTAAAACTTATATTAGTAGTTAGTGCGTATTTAGTATGTTTTAGTACTTCAAAAAGTTTAGTAGATTAGTAGTTTAAAGAAAAACGCATTCAAAATAAGTAAAAATTTCCAAAATTGGCATCATGATGGAAAATGTATAGAAACACTAAATGTTTGGGTGCATCAATATATAATGTTTGATTAGTACTTACTAATTCATCAATCAGGTTTTCCGCTTGACAGAAACTAGTTACAAGAGAAACAAAAACTATACGGCAACTTTAGGCTGAGTCTTAAATATCGGATTTTAAATTGCGATTCAAATAAATTACGGTTAACTACATTAAGATTCCTTTTTAACAAACTCAAAATATTTTTGAATCTTGTGATTTTAAGATCTTTGTAGATATTTCTTGTCGGTAAATTTAACAGATAGAGAAGTAAAATAGTTAAAATCTCATTATATTTTGATTGGAGTTATATGTTCAAATATTTCATATGAATCTGAATCTCTTACTAAGACGCCGTCCTAATCATTAAGACTGCTAAACTTTTGAAATAACTAATTCTAAAGCTTAGGCTAATATATAATGCTAACTAAAATATACATTTTATTAATGAATCTATTTGGTAAAGAGTATAAATAAAAAAGGTTATTCAAATTAAGAAATTTCTAAGGTATCAAGATTTAAGATAGAATGAAAAATATAGACTCACTAAATCAATTTGAATAAAAAAATTGAATAAACGAAATATATATAATTTAAAAAAATTACTTTCGTAGTGTAAAAAAATCTATCTTTTTTAATTTGTATTTAAAAGATGAGACTTGATCTCTGACTGAAGTTTAAATTTCACGCGATAGCACAAAATTAATCTTTTATATTTATTGAAGAAATGATTGAGATGTATCACTATAACAACCAAGCAACAATATCTTAAATTTACTATATGGCGTAAGAATATATAATTTTCAGAGTCCTACACAGTGGCGTCACTAGGGGGGGGGGGCGCAGGGGTTCGAGCCCCCTGAAAAATTTAAATAGCCCCCTGAAGCAAAAAAATTTTTTTTTAATGGAATCTTAACTCCTTGAACTGAAAATAAATTTTTTTAATTGCCCCCTGAACGATTTCTTTTATAATTCTATTAAGTAATATATAGATTTAATTTTATTATTTAAAAATTAATAAGACTGTCTAAATATTTATTAAATGAATACTATTTTAAATATTAGATTAGATTAATACATATAAATTATATTTTCACTATATCAGCTTGCAATCAAATTTTGTGTTAAAAATAGATTATCAATATCACTCACTAAATATTAATTTAGCATTATCAGTTGAAGCTTAATTGACTATTATTATTAAAATTATTATTTAAATTATTATATATCGTAATTAAATAAATATAATCATTTATTGATTGAAAACTAAAAAATTTAATATTGTAATTAGCCGAATTCCAAATGACTAATCAACGGTATATTTATTTTTAAATTTTATTATTATACCTGTTGTAATATGTAAATAAATTTTAGATTCGTTAAATTTGTACTTTATATTTAATTTGCATAAAGAGTTCTTTTGGATTTATTATCATAACGCGTGATAAAAATATTATATTTGAATAGTGAGAACTGAAATTAATTTAAGTTATGAATATTAGTTATAAAGAAGATTGAAAAGAGTATACTCCAATTTTTACAATTTCAGAATCTTTTATAATTATTAACTTTTTTGTATTTTATTTTTTATTTTATTTTTATTAATCTTTTTTATTATTTTTACTTTTATAATTTTGTTAATTTAATAATGTTATAATTTTGAATAAAGGATTAAATTGATTTCATGATTTCGTGATTCCTAATTATTATTAATTTCTTTTTTATATATATATTTGTTTTCTATTTTTATTTTTTAGGTTTCAAAAGTTCCACTTTCAACATTCCTAATTATTATTAATTTCTTTTATATATATATTTCTTTTTATATTTAGGTTTTGATTCACAATGACAATCTCCTCATTGTGACAATACCTATTCCTAAAAATATTTTCTAGGTCCAAATAGTATAAGAGATTTATTTATAAAAAGTAAGTAATTAGACATATAGTTTATAATGCTCTATTATATACAGTTGTTTATAAAATATTAGATAAAATACGGCTTTTATAGACGTATTTGACAGTTATATAATATATTACAGTTAATATGCAATCGGTTCATTTTTCAGACGCCTGATAGCTAAAATTATAGCAAAAAATATATAATCCGATACTCATTCCCTGCTTGGCAAATACCAATTAAGATGCGGAACTAAAGGAGGCGTAGATATAGGCTCTCACTGCCTACGAATCTACCTCCAACATCCACCAATAAACTCAGTTTTATGTAAAATCAATTTTAAGAATGCTTTCAATACAATTTCACGTTCCACGACACTCGAATCTTTTTTCGATAATTTCCCCCAATACTCGCGCTTCATAGACATCTGCTATAACAATAGCGCTCCCCTCATCTTTAATGGTAGCGTTATATACTCTGAAGAGGAGGTACAACAGGGCGACCTCCTCGGCCATATTCTTTTCTGCTTAGCTATCCATAATATGATGAAAGATCTTACATTTGATTTTGATCTCGACCTAAACCTATGGTACCTTGTTGATGGCAGCCTTTGCGGTAATCCACATCAAATAAGCAAAGCTCTTAACTACCCGGAAAGAGAATGCTCTAAAATAGGTTTAGAATTAAATAAAACTAAAACTGAAATTTGCTTCCTCAACCCCGAGATTCCCTTAGATTTATTTAAAGAATACACTATTATCGAAAAAGAAGATATCCAACTATTGTGCTCCCCATTACTTAATAATAATATATCCGAAGAAATTATCGATATTTCTGAGATGCAAAACTTGGAAAAGTTTATCAACCACATTCCATCGCACCAGATTTTTTACTTATTAAAAAAGTGTTTATATCTTCCCAAAATCTCATATCTCTTCTACTCATCCTCCTCATTCACCTCCTCAAAATTTTTCATTCAACACAATATTCGTTTAAAGACCTTTATAGAAAGGATCCTCAACCTTTCATTATCATACTTTAATTGGCACCTAGCCCAGTTACCCGCTAAACTAGGTGGTATCGACTTGATCCCTTTAGAACTACTTTCCCTTTTTCTATTTATATAAAATCGCCTATCGCTCAATTCTGTGATCTCATCATTCATAACTCCTCATGATGATCTTCTTTCAGCAGCAATAGAAAGATGGAATCTCCTAACCCCAGGCGGTTATACATTTTCTACCTAAATCTCTAACAAATCTATCATCGAACCCCTAATAAAAAAATTACAAAATAGTCTTAACTCTACCGAAATCAGCGATATACAAATATTATAAAACAACAATAAATACGGTGATCATGAATGGCACTTCCAAGCCAAACCTTATATAATCTCTTAACCAATGACCAACTGTGAGTTACTATAGGCTTTAGACTTGGATGCTCGCTTACACATTCACATTCTTACCACCAATGCAGCCTACCCGTTCAACCTTACGCCAGACACGGTCTAAACTGCACCCGCAGCCAAGGACGCCATCTCCAATTCATACATATCGCATTGTTCAGAGTTAACAAATTTTAAAAAAGAATAATATATAAATATAAAACGCGGCCGAAGGCCGGGCAAAATGGGCTGAAGTCCCGCAAATTGGGGGGCATGGGGGGCGAATCCTCCCATAAATTTTTTTTAGTTGAGCCCCCTGAGATTGTAAAGGTTAGCCAGCTCCTTGTCCTGCAAAGGTACTAATTATATGGCCCCGGCCCGGGTGTACAATTATTTTTTTCACTAACCAGTTTTAAAATAAAAAAATATATCAAACCGGCATTTTAGAGTTTCAACGAATATGAAATCATTTTATATCTAATAACTTTTAAAATTATCTTCTTTAATATAAAATGAAGCTTGTGCTCATTTTTGACGAAATGAATTTTTCATTATTTTGTAATGTTATCAGTGGTGTTACTGCGGGTGGACACAGGGGCTCAAACCTAGAGGTCTGCAAAAGTAGGCCCGACCCGGGGCCTAATATTTTTTAAGAAAATTGGGGCCAGGTCGGGTCAATTTTTTAAAATATATCTAAATTTATCAATTTATGTTGAATTTTTTATGTAAAATAAAAATATGTGATTTTATTTATAGAAAGTAGACGCCGGGGCAAAACTTTATAAAAAATTTCGAGCCGGCCGGGCTTGAAAAATTAGGCCGATGCAGATCACTGCTCAAGCCGACTGAAAAATTTAATAAAAAAGGTTCATTTTGAAATTGTTAGCTAAAAAAAGGTATTTTCAAAAATATTAGCAAAAAAAAATTTATAAATTTAAAAAAATAATTTTTGAGCCCTTCTGCGATTGTAAAGGTTAGTGACGCTACAGAATATTATATGTTTGATTGACTAAAAATCACATGAATTATATGTAAGAAAGAAATAGTTGCTATTTAAGTAATTACAATATAATTAATCAAATCCAACAAAATGATAATTAAATTTTATTAAATATTAGAAAATAACTTACAAAAAAAATATAAATTAGCAACCTAAATAATAATTATTTTTAAAAACAATTTTACTTTTCTTATATAAACTTGTTAAGTATTTTCTAACGAGAGATATAAATTCCGTTGAAATAAGAAATATGAAAAGTTAATGAATATGACTGATACATCATTCTATGATATAACTTTTAAATATATGATATATTTATTATTGTATATGATAATAGTCGAAAAATAATCGGCTCAGCCGAACCCGGGATTATAGAAAAATAATTTCTACCCGGCACGGTTTGTTAAAAAAAAAATTTTTTGACCCCTATTTATTTAAATTTTTAATTTTTTTTTATATGGCTTGGTTATTATAATTGGGCATAGATTTGGGGCATGCCTGTAAATCTCTGAAAATCATTTTTAAATTATAAAACATGTTACTTAAATTCCACTCCGTCGTCATCGTATACTTTACTTACAACTTTCATTTTTTTGGTAACTCCATTTAAAATATCCTCCAAAGTAATTTCCAGGGTTTTGTACGTAGGCGCCTGTTGTCTAAAGCGTCGTTTTTTGGATGTAGACGGGAAGGACGTAAAATGTAATTGAGGCGTATCAAATATCGAAATATGATTTTCTAATTCTGAATCAAAAGCTTGAAAAGGGTTATTAGTTCCAAAAAATCTTTCGAAAATCCTAAATGGATCGTCCGTTTCGAAACTAAAAGTCGATGAAGAGCTGGGGCCTGATCTACTGTTTTCCGTAAACCAAACCCTGGAATATCCTTTTGGATTTGAAAAGGCTGTAAACGGATCGTAAAAATCCGCATGACGATTTTTAAAAGGCAATTTTTGTGATGATCCAATTCTGTCATAAGTTTTTCTTTTCTCGGGATCACTTAACACGTCATAAGCTTCTGATACATTCTATAAATTTATATATTTTGAGTTTTTAATTATATACAACATGAATAAAGTTGAATTTTATTATAGGATTTTAGGAACTTCTACCTCTTTAAGTCAATGACTCTTTCGCCCTCTACTCCCTCACCCTCTTCACCAAATTTATCACCTATTCCTCCTACCAAATTCAATTAGAAAAAAAAATAAATAAAAATTAGAAAGGAAAAACACCTAAATTAGCAAAAAAAATATTCATGACAACTAAAAGAAATTCAAATAAAACCTCCCCTAATTCCCTCCAAATTTTATTTATATGATGATGGCAACTTCATAACATGGCTTGAACGCTAATTGGGATTCAGGAATTTAAACTCCATTTAGCGGAAGTTTTGGTCCTTGCTTGGTCTGTGATCTCAAAATGTTCTGCCAAACAATTTTCAGCTTTCTGAATTTGTGAACCCTAATTATATATTCCCGACCTACCCACCCCCCTCTCTTAATAAAAATTGTGCGCCATACCTCCCCCCCCTTCTCCAGAGTAGAAGTCCCTATATATTATTTGAAGTGTTTGATTTATTAACTTCTTTTCCTGGTCAGGGTTTAGGACAACTTAGAAAATTAATATTTTCATAAAACAATATTTAAAGTTGATCCCTATATTTATCCTACGTGCCTCGGTCTGAAATGCTCCAGCAATCCTTACTCACGACAAAACATGATAAAATAATACTTGGTTGCTCTAAGTTAAATATTTTTCTTCTAAAATTATGTCCTAAAATCTTTATCATCATTAGATGGAATGTTTCTATATCTAAATGTTGCAATTTGAGATAATTTCCCTTATGCCTGAAAATTTAAGACAATTGGTAAAAATTATATAATATATTAGTTTCGAATTCACCTCTGCATAGGAATAGCTAGGACATTTCTAAAGGGTGGGAGATAGCACTATTAAGTGAGGTTTTCCCCATTAATTTTATTATCTTTAGGTCCACTTATTGCAGGCCTTTGGTTATGTTACATTTTTTAAAAATAATTTTGGGTTTTCATTTCTTTCACATAAAATTCTTTTTCTGAAAATTTAAAATTATAGTCATTATTTCAAAAAATTGTTAACTATATTTTTTTATGGGGAGGGAGAGGAGTGTAGTGTAATTTTTTTTAAAATAGTTTGAAATGATATCTACTAAATTTCCTAAGGAGGAGGGGGGGGAGGATACTTAAAGTAAAAACTAATCTTAGCACTGATAATCTAATAAAGATATATTTAAAAAATTTACTTTAAATTTATCTTCCGCCCCGGGTTCTTTATTTTTATCCGGATGATATTGTAAAGCCATTTTTCTATATGCTTTTTTGATTTCATCCGGTGTTGCATTCTTGTTAAGACCCAAAACTTTGTAGAAATCTTTTGACATTTAGTTAAACATTCATTATTTTAACAATCATTATAAAAAAAAATTTTTAATTTTCTTATCATTGATTATCAAACAAAACTCTTATTTTGATTGTCCTATTTATTTAAATTAAAGACAATCTTGTCATCATTTTTATTTACAACTTTTGTAATTGAACATCGACAAAAAAATAGTGTATTATTCTTAATTCTATAACGCCTAGAGCACTTGGATTCAGTTGGTTAAATCGTGAATTGTTTGTAGTATATGCAAGTTATGCAATCTATACAGATATTATTAAATCGAAAACCCGTTCTTAATATCATTGCCTCTAAGTTAAAATTTCGGCCCACTCGTTTTTCAATGTTCTGAAAAAACCTTATCGCTCTCCTTCATCCCTATTTTTGTTCTGGGATAATTTTATCGATTACGGGTTAAAATTAAAAATCGTTTGTGTAATCCTTCACACATATCTACCTTCAATGCAAACAAGAGGGTATAGGTTTTTAATCTTTCATACAACTATTCATATTTATTTATTCAAACAATATGTTTTCAGGTGATATTAGTATTAATTCTCAAACACTAATTCCTTAAGATAATAAGATCCTTCAAGATTTTATAGGTCAACTTCCATTCTCAAAGAGATTTAGACTATCCTCTATTGACCCACTCCGTATAATAATTAATATCAAATGGCTCATTAGGCTAAATTCTAAAAAGCTATTAATGACTAGAAGCCACCTATAGTTCAAACCCAGGTCTATTGCTCTAAAAAAACACTTAGAATATCGATTTGTTCTACTTTTAGATTGTCGTGCCAATTTATGCAACAACTCTATTATAATATTTATAAGGTTATACGATTTCACTAAATGGGCCTACAGTTTCGTGGAAGTTTTATCTTTTAAATTGCGGTAGTCTCCTAATCATTGTGGGAACCTCATAACCCTGTCTTGATTATTACTGAGGGAAAAGACTCCCCAATTTTATTTTTAGCACTAAAGCTTCATTAAAAAGAGATTTAACAAATCTTCAAACTATAGATGCTCCTCATCTTAATTTATAATCAATATTTTACAATACAATTTTTCTTAAAATTCTATTAGTTCTTGGTAAAAAAATTTGAACATTCCAGCAATACGACGCCCTTTGAATTATATTTAAAAATATTAATTAGTATTCTTATTTTTTAGATACAATTTATTTTTATTCTTAGACTTCACACTAATGACTATTTATCACAAATATTGTAAACGAAAACGTTCAAATGCATTCGTGAACGAAGTTCGTTTTTTGAAAAATTAGTGAAGGACTTACTTTTTGACGAACTTTGAACGTGAACGCGTTCTTATTTTTTGAGGAACGCGTTCTTTTTTTTACGTTCGTTCAATTTGAAAAAAGTATTAATATTATATTAATCCAAATTTTTTAAGAAAAAAGGGTTATTTTTTAATCAGCTGTCCCCTTTATCACATTTGATTTTTTTTAACCAGCCACTATTTCTGTCCTATAGTAAGATTACTAATTTAAATATTATTTATAGATTAGCGTGAGCATGGTGTTATTTTGTTACCATCGTCTGATTCTGTAAATAGTAACATTATATTCAATAAACTAATTCCTTCCTTACCAAATGTATAATGTGTCCAAAAAGTGTCTCCCTAATATCCCCCTAAACTAAAAAATAAATTTTTTGAACGCCCTCTGAACGATTTCTTTTATAATTGTATTAAGTATTATATATAGATTTATTATTTAAAAAGACTATCTAAATTTTTATTAAATGAGTTTTATTTTAATTATTAGATTAGATTAATACATAAAAATTATATTTTATTATTTAAAAATTAATAAGACTATCTGAATTTTTATTAAATGAGTGCAATTTTATTTATTAGATTAGATTAATACATATAAATTATATATTTTCACTATGTAAGCTTTCAAATTCTGTGATAAAAATGGAATATCAATATCACTCATAATGTCTAAATAAATTTAGTATCAACAGTTAAAGCATAATTGTTTTTTATTATTTAAATTATTTTATAACCCTAATTAAATAAATATAATCATATATTAATTGAAAATTAACAAATTTAATATTGTAATTAGCCGAGTGCAAAACTACTAATCAATTATATTATTTGTTTTTAAATTTAATACCATGCCTCTTCCTAAAAAAATTTTCAAGGTCCAAATAAGTATAAGAGATTTATTTATAAAAAGTAAGTAGACATGTAGTTAATAATCCTCTATTATATAAAATTGGTTATAAAATATTAGGCAAAATATCACTTCTACAGTCGTATTTGACAGTTATAGAATATATTAGAGTTAATATTTAAATAATTTTACTAATAAATGTTTTTGATAATATAAGTAACCATTTACATTCAATTCTTTAACGCTAGCTATTTAATTAAAAATATTATTAAAATTAAAGAATTTATTATTTCATCCAACAATGGATGTTATCTTATTAGATATTCTTTTTCATTCCCTTTTTGTGTTTTTAGGAAAGCTATTTTTCTTCTTCTTTGAAAATCAGTTTTAAGTAAAATTTTTAATACGAGTATATTTTTGATATTATTACAATTACTATTATTTTAAGGTTTAATATGCCAACTCAAGGTGGTACAATAGTATATAAAATCTTAATTGCTTTCATCATTTTACTCTGGTCCTTTTATAGTTACAAAGTGTTTCTTTCTAATATAGCATCCTTGCCGTGTAAATAACTCAAGGCTTCAATATATTTACATAATTATTTCTTTTATATTTGTGTTTTTTTTATCAATTTATATAACATAATAAATTCTGATAAGAGTTTACATAGTGAGTGTCATGGCTAGACTGCAAATTAACCATCATCTATTATTTGTGAGGCTAAAGGGCTATGTAGATTGTTACTCCTGCGGCTGAGAGCCTTTTATTGCATAGTTTAGATGAGCAATAATGGTCAACTTTTTAGTCATTTATATATCATTAAAAATGGATGATAATCTTTTAGAAATTTAATATCTCACAATATTTTTCTCGATTACTTATCAACTTCATAATGTCTTCTAGGTCTAACCACCATATAGTCTTATGATTTGGTATAGTCGTTTATATTATCTCTATTTATTTGGTAAGGCCTACAAAATTTTCCTTATTAGTCAATTCTATAAAACATTGTCTAAAATGGTAACACAAAGCTATATTAGTTTAATGACCTTTTGTCAATGTAGGTTGCTAAGAATTATATCGCCCTGTGTGGTTTTTAAAAGCCATTATCAATTTAGGTCAGTGGCCCCTACACTTTCTGAGTGATGGAAGCAGAATACCCCCCTTCCCCCCTAAAAAGTACTCCCCACCCCTTTCGAAAAAATGGTTAATTATTTTTTGACACTTCAAAAATAATTTTTATTGCATCAATCTTTAATATAATATAAATAAAATGTAAAATAATATTTACTTCAAAAATATTATTTTTAAATTAATTCAGACAAATTAGGGAAATAGAAAGCAAAATAATTTATAATTTTATCAATATTTAATTGTTTAAATAAATTTTTTCTATTGATAAAATTGTTAAATTATTAAGAAATGGATCTTTCATGGTACTACGAAGTCTTGTTTTAATTAATTTAATTTTACTCATGACCCTTTGGGCAGTACATGAAGTAATAATAATGGTTAATAAATATTTATATAAAATTGTTAAATTAGGGAAAGCAGAAAATTTAAAAGTAGACGATAAGGTAAAATAAAAGAATAGTTTTTCCAAAGTGAATCATAAATTTCTGAATTATCATCATCAGAAGAAGAAATAGCTAAATAATGTATTAGTAAAAATATTTTAATTAAATAAATTTACAATCAGAATATGACAAATTTTTAGATTCTACTCTACGTCACGTGTAATAATTACACCCCCCGTTTGCATATTTTTGTAAGATAAGTATAAACAATTAAATATTTAATAAAAAATTTTTTTTGCTATTCGTCCAATTTTAAAAAATAATCTTAAATGCTACAATTTAAAGGCTTATCTTTTAAAATTAAGCCTATTATGTCTTTTTCTAATATGGTCTGTCCATTTATTATATCTTATATTATGGTATGTGCAATTATTAATAAGAATTTATATTTTTTTTGATTATTTGGGCATATTTTGAAATCAGCGTACATGACAGGATTTTCACTGGAAGCAAACCCCCTTCAAAAACCTATGCCTACACCCCTAAAAAATTTCCGGCGGTGTCTGTCTATTATTATTTTCACCCTTTTAATTTATTGATACTCTTTTCTGAGAATTTATCTAGGATAACTTAACTTAATCTATCTCTACTACCAACTATCGATATTTTGTAAATATAAAGAATATATTTTTTTAGATAATAAATTCAATTAAAACCTTCATTATTTACAATGAATTAATTATTATGGCATTATGAGCTTGCTGAAACATCTAAACCTTTTAAATTACATTTAAAAGGATAGGAGAAAGATTTATTTGGAAAACAATTGTTATAGATTTGGTCGATGAATTGTATTATAATAATTCTATAATAAAAGTATTAATTTTTACAGCAATAAATTTTGTCCTATTTTATCTCAAAATTTAATAGACCCCCCCCCCCCCCCAAAAAAAAAAAATTTTTTTTTATCCTACCCCCATTAAAACAGTCTATTCTCTACCCCCCCCCCCCCCTCAAAAAAATAGGATGCAAACTGTTCCTACCCCTCCCGCTCATGTACACGCTGTTTGAAATTAACAAATTTTTTTTTGTAAATGTTTATTTACATAGTTTATAATATTAAAATTAACATATCAAATATAAAATAAAATAAAATAAAACATTATTTTAAAAAAACGGAGGTGGGACTGCAAGTTCCCAAAAAACATGAATAGTTATATTTTAAAATAGTTATTGGTAAGTTTTTATTTTAAAAAATAGTATTATTTTGGTTCTGATGTAAGGGCTCTTATCTTATTGCCTATATTTTTAAGAATCTTAAAGTTCCGCTTAATTTTATGACAAGAAATCTAGCAATATCACTTAATTTGCTAAATATCGACCAAAATATATTAAAATATAATAATAAAATCCCCCACTTTTTATATAATTTAATATGTACTAATGGAATCACGAAATTGAGTCCGATATTATAAACCTAAAATCATTTGGTTATGCATGGCTATAGTAAAACAATAAACGAATTAAATTTAAATAATAATTTTTTAAAAAAGGTACCCACACTAAATTTTTTTAGAAGCAGTTGCTTCGGACCCCTGCCGTTGTAGAGGCCACTCATTGAGGCTAACCTTATTTATCACTTGTATTCTTTATACAAAATTTTTTTTATATTCTCAATCGAAAATATTTAATATTGTAATAAATGGATAAATATTTTGTATTAAAAAATAATATATTTAGAAATGTCTTGTATTGTTTACTTTTATTATTTGTAAGTATAATATGAAATTCAGAATAATTGTTCAAAGTTTGGAAATTTCAATTAGAAAAGTAAAATAGGCGTTGAGCCCCTGAGATTGTAAAGGCTAATGACGCCCCTGGAAGCTAGATGGAAATCAGTCCGTCTAACTGGCTTCAGTATTCAGCAGGGCCTCATAAAAAGGAATATAGATATCAATTCTTTACAATAAATAAATAAAGAAAGAAATATTCTAGTACAATTAATAATTAAGCATAATAAATATTTTAATTATTTTCTTGATTTCTCTTTACATTTTATTTAAAATTAAATATAAGATGAAGCATTTAATATTGCAAGTCGATTAGTAAATTCCTTATTTTTTAAACGCACTCTTTCATAATTATATGGCAAAAGCAACTCAGCTCTTAATTTTAGAGCCGCCTAGTGATCTACTTTTTAAAGGTTTTGCTATAAATTTTAATTTTTTTAAGCTTATATATAATATTAGGTCCTTTTAATGAAGTGGCTACTTCGTGTCTAAAATTAACTAATATATCAGAACAGCCAGTATGTTTTAAGGTAAAAACTACAGCACCAAAAATGTACTGTGTTCGACCTAATAGTGGTAGAATTGATCCTAAAGCTGCTATAGATGTTGCAAGTGATACCTTTTATATTTGATGTTTGCCAATTAATTTTTAGTTATGCTGCAACCATTTGATTACAATACATTTGATAAAACAAAGCATAAATTTATGGTACAGTCTATAGTTGCCCCATTACAGCCTATGGATATGGATAAATTAGTAATTGACTAATTTAATACATACATTTTAAATATTCTAGTGGAAAGAGGCAGATCCAAATGATATTATTAATACAAAACTTAAATGTATCTTTGAAATGCCATCTGATATTATAGATGTAAGATTAAATTATATATGTGTGAGTATATAAGTTTTATAGAATTCTGCATTTGATCAATCACTAGTTAACAAAAGCAATATCACTTCTTCATCAAATACCAATATATCTCAACCAAAATCTATTCAACATGATGAAGTAATTCCATTTATGAAATTATTAATTTACTCTTTCTTAAATACTTTATAATATAATAATTTTTTTGTTAACCATTATCTATAAATAAAAATTGCTTGGAGCATAGATAACATTTTCCTAAATCTAATAAATATTACCATAAAATTCTCAGAACACCTAATTTTTATTTAAAAGTTTTTAATGAGCTTATTGGACAAAAGGATTTAACTAATTTATACATTATTACAAGTTCATATCAAATTTGAATTATTTAAATAGGGCTATGATTATTTGTCTACTTATCATATTGCTGAGAAATGGAAAGTGTTTTTTTGCTCGTATTTTATATTTTTTGCTATGTTAATACTGGATTTTTATGACATTGGTTCTAAGATACGTGGTATATAAAAATTAATCTAAATATTGAATTGGTGGAAAATTTGTGAATCGGCACAGTCCTAGTTTTTTTAAAATTAGAATGAATATTTTTACATATAAAAATTTCTAATCAAGGTTGGAGCCTCGAATAAATTATCAATTTTTTAAAATAATTAATGAGAAAAAATTGAAAATGGTTTTTCAAGATAGATAAATTCAGTGCACCAAAACTTTCCGATAGTTTAACTCTTAAGAATATTCATGAATTTCATATGGACCTAAGTTTTTAAACATTATCATTACTTAAAATCCTGTCATTATTATGGTCAGGATTTTTCAATAGGTATATATTTTTAGCTAAACAATTTATCAACCCCCCCCCCCCACCCTCCTAATCTTGAAAATTTAAAAATGCATCTTATAGAATTTAAAATAAATTTTAACACATCATTTGATGTGCTTGGAATTTTTTCTTACTTATGATAAAAATACTGAAAGATAAGATATTTATGCTTGTCTCAATTTAAAAAAAATCATAGATGATTTTGCTAAGTAAAAATTTTTATTTTTTTTCTCTATCCGAATTAATTTTATTTGAATTTCTTTTTAATCATATTTCTTAATTATCCTTTTTTTTAAATCACTTATTTCCTCTAGAAAATTGTTGTTTTATCTGAACTCCTAGAACTTAAAGCTGTTGCAGAGGACAAATTTTAAATTTTAATTATTCAAATAATAAAAACTTATGATGTAAATTATAATTCTATTATAATGTCTAATATGATATATAACAAGTTTCATAGAGATTCACACCACATTTTCTACCTGTTTTCTAAATATATTTTATGCAAATTGCATATTGATATAACCTTATGATATATATTGTGTGGGGGGGGGGTACAATAACCTTGTTTCAAGTAAAAAATTTATTGACCTATTCATTAGAAATTCCTCTAGATTTTCAACAGATCAATCTGGTGGTATGTGGGCCTGTTATAATATAACATCTTGACAATTGTCAAATTAAAGCTATTATAATTTGAAAATATTATATAAAAATAAACTTGAATGACTTTATTTATCTTTTAAGTGAATAGCACCGTATATCCAGAATTTAGAAGAAAAAAATTCAGGCTTGGAAAATTAAATATGGCCCAGGCTGGGTTTAGGGCTGGACTTGCAGTTCTCTGATATTTATAAAATAATTTATTCAGTGTATACGTCCTAGTAACCAGTGATTTTTTTTAGAGAAAACCATAGGGGCCAATATTTTTTTTAAAATTTATAATCATACACAAATTCTTAAAATCAATAGTATATAATAAAAAATATTTCTTAGCCATTAAATGTTTGGTTCTGTGTGAACATATGTTTTTCTGAGTTTTCAATTTTATATCTGAGTAATTAATTTTTTCAGGACAATTTGGTATTTTATCTGAGCAATAGGAATAATTCTAAACATTTCAGTCTTAATTCTGAGAATTCTATTTTAATTCTGAACTATCAAGGTATCAAAAAAATTTCTTAATAAATAATAAATAAAAAAATATTTTCTTCACATTTTTCAAAATTTTTATATATTTTTTGTTTTGTAGGTAAAATTTTATTTTAAATAATAATTTAATATGCTAATAATATAACAGGAATACATTTCTTATCTTGTTCTTATATTTATTTTTTAAAGTAAGATATTTGGACAAAAACACAAAACCGAGAAAGGAAAACAAACCAATATTCCTAGATATACAATTGTTGAATTTAATTTAAATATAAGCAATTATTTAAATATAATGTTTAGTTTTGGCTTGTTTAATTTGTTTGATGAGTGCCTTTTGGATTAAATAATATAAAAAATAAAATAATTGTAAAATAAATTATTTTGATTTTTTTGCTAGTAAATGTTTATATGGAGTAGAATTAAAATTATATATTGAGTCAATATTTCTTTATGCTCTTCAAAACCTCTAAATCTGAACATGTAAAATTTTAACTCTGAATAGACCCTGTTTTTTGTCGAATGTCTCAATTTATTTTTTAAAATATTATTGAATTAATATGGCCTTAGGAATAAATATTCTAAATAAATATTCTAAAATATAATCGACAATATTTATTTGCAATTATTGTGTTAATGTTTTTGTGAAATAGTTTTAGCTTTATTAACTTCAATATAAAATTTTAATCTTGATATAATTTTTTTGGAATAGTTTTCGCTATAATAAATATTTGACATGGAACCCTTTTCAAGATATCTAGGATGAATTTTGATCAGCTTAAATTAAAATGCATTCTACAATAAAGATTTTGGGCTAGAAATCAGTTTAATTTGTTATTAATGATTAAAACAAGATAGTTATTTATTTTTTTATTAATTTTAAAATGGAAATATTTTATGAATTTTTAAGGGATTATTAAAATAATTATAATATTCACCTCCAACAAATGCATTTATTATTATTTTTTATTGTAATCCATGATATAATGGTATTTTTTAGTTTTTTTTAAAATAATCATCTGCTGTTATAATAATATTTAAAAAAACTTCTATTTTTAAACAATTACCCTCCATTTTCTAATGACTCGCAGATATTCATAGAAAAATTATGGATGTGAAGGGAAATCATGAAGAACTTAAAAAAATAATAGATCCATTGTTAGAGATATTCAAAGATCAGATACATTGGTAAATATTGGAGAGTTACTAGGAAAAAGTAAAAGAAGCAGGGGAGAAATGATTACATTCTAGTTAAAAAAATAACACAAAGACTATTAGATATCTCCAATGAGTGTAACTTGGCTCTTAGGAAAGTTGTTTTAAGATCCATTTGTTACTCATTTTATATATCTATATTCTACATTTATATGATGAGTGGATTTACTGGAAATTGAATTGAATTATATGTAACATTTATTAATGAAAACCAAATTTAGATAGATAATATGGTAACAATCTTCAAATTATCTGGATTTATATGATTGTAAGTTTTAAGGAGGCTCTGCTTTATTGAAGTACGGTAAATTCTCAAAATAGTAAGAAATATTCTCAGCATCTTATCCCATAAAGCTATATGCTATTTCCTGAGGGAAAATATAATTTCAATAAGGATATAACCCTATGCCATTCATTCAGATCCACAAATTACATAAGATGAATATATTGTAAATACCATTAAGTTACGAGTTCAAACCAATGGAAATATAAGGAATAAAGCTGTGCCGATATTAAATATCGGATCGGCACCAATATTTAACGTTTTCCAAAAACATCGGATCGGACCAATACCTGTAAGAAAATTGATCCGATCCGATCTTTTTACTTTTCTTTTTTTGGTTATTTAGTGTTATGTATATTTATTTTACATTATTATAATATTTTATAAATGATTTTTTTTAAACAATGCAATGCAAATGCACAACACTCTAAATTTTATTTCTTTTTAAAAATAGATTTATAGTATTTTAAAAGTTTTTTTTATAAAAATAGAAAGGAACACTCAAAGTTTTATTTATTTTAAATCTTTTTAAATAATAACGCCAATTTTATTATTTACTTTAAATAAAACAATTTTTTAAATATGGTATCTGAATTATGGAAATATTTTACAATTTATTAATTATACTTTAAATAAAAGAATTTTTTTAAATATGATATCTGAATTATGGAAATATTTTACAAAAGACAAAAATAATTTTGCAAAATGCATTATCTGTGGAATCATCTGAGTCTGCCTTCAGTACGGCATGGGATATAGATAGTCCATATCGTAGAAGCTTATTGCCAGAAAATCTAGAGGCTCTCATATTTTAAAAAATCTAATATATTAAAATTTTATATATTAAATATTACAATTTTATAATTTATACCAACATAAAATGAATTATATATTTTTTTAATTAGTCTTAATTGTAGAAATAAAAAAATTAAATTAAATGCATAATTCGATTTTTTGCATAAAAAATATTAATTTCTTTTACATTTGGTTCAATGGGGGGTGGGGAAAAATCAGTATAAATATCGGATCGGTATTGGGTGGTGAAAAATCAGTGTAAATATCGGATAGGTATTAGATTGGTGAAAAGTATGTGGATCAGCACAGCCCTAATAGGGAATTAGGATGACCATTCAACATTGTCCTGGTACAAAGGCATATTTTCAGAAAACTAGTCAACAAATGATAGAATCACAACAGAAACTTGGCAACAGTTAATAACTTTTTTATTCTGAAATGGTATAATATATCAAATATCATAGTAAGTGAAAGTTAAATGGTAAAAATATACAGAATGTGCAAATTATTCTACATATTATTGATGATTTTTATTTGCTATACACAAAGCCATTTAAAAAAAATTAATTAAACCATAAAATCTTACAAATAAAAGGAGGATTATTTAAATTTGAATTACAAAGAAATGGACAAGCTTTCTCAGTTAATAAATAAATTAAAGAAACTTTTAGATTTATTAATTTTTTATGCGACATTTTGATTAAAGAGTAAGTATTAAATTACATTTTACTTTTAATAAATATTACAGAAAGAATATGATCAGAATTCATTTGCATAAGTGCATTTTCATTTCATATAGTAATATTTTTCTTTCAGGTAATTAATATTAGTTTTTGATTGTTTAAAATTATTTTTATAATTGGTTTTTTTTTAAAAATGGCATTGTAATTTGTATATTTATGGTTACAGGATTTTAGTTCTCTCGAAAATGCTTCCAGTACATTATACAAAAGACCTCAGAAACAAGAATTAGTTGCAGGTTCCCAACATGTCTCACTTACAGATAGATTTGATGATTTTAAAAAGGATGATAGATATCCCCGAGGTGCACACGATTTATCATCTAGAAATAAACCAATCACTTCTCTACACACAAAATCTCCTTCTCTCTTATCAAATGCTTGTGACATAATCACCAACGTTCCCGTATTAGTTTGCATATTAGTGGCTCTCATACTTGGCATGATTATAGCCAAAATATTTTTTTGATCATATTTTAGTATATTTGTAATACATGGTAAGGCTTATGGAGTATGTTAAATTTATCAGTTTCATTAATATTATTCAATCATTATAGCATTAAATTATAATACAATATAGGTTTGTTGCCTAATGACTAAAAAACCCTTAATTAATTTTCATTGTAGAAAAGTTGTTTTTTTTTAAAAAAATCTTCATCTTTTTTACTATTTAAGTGTTTTAACGTTTACCAAATATTATGCTTTTTTTGTTGTAATTTAAATGTGTTAGGTAGGGATAAATTGTAATATATACTTTTTAGATATTTCAAAACGTCTCCATTCCTCATCACTTATTATTATGTGGATATACGACATTATTAAAAAGAACCAAAAAATTTATAGTTTTTTCTCTCTCGTTTGACATTATTTAAATGTGTTCTATAAAATTGATGTCGTTTTATAAAATATTTGCCATTTGTACAAAATAAATTTTATCTTAATAAGTAGAAAGTTACAATAAAAAATTAATATTTTCTTAATTAGAAATTTATAATAAAAAATAAATATTTTATTTGCTATGAATTTATTTTGGGTAAGAAATATAATAAACATTATTAATAAATTTGGTTCTCAACAAAAATCAGTTGTCTTTATTGGACATAGCTTGGTAGAGGCTTCCTGTTTTGTATAACCTTTCCTTAGATACTTTATCAATCTCCTTGATGTTTATGAGATTTCGCAGGTAACTAGTTTAAAATATGTCCAAAATCTGAATACTGTTTTTGGTTAGAATATAATATTTGTAACCATAAGATATAATCGGTATAGTGTTGTTAAAAAGCCTGATTTGGGTCAATTTTTAAAAGCTGTCCGATTAAGATTTTAGCCAAAATAATATTGTTTAAGCCTCAAGATTTGAGAAGTGTCTTACACAATATTATTATGGATATAATCTTAATTGGGATGTTTTTAAAAATCAACCCGAACCAGGCTACCGATTTTAATACTGAGATGATTTATGATTTTAAAACATATTTAAATGAATAAAAGAAGCTCAAACCTTACCTTTCTAGTTAAATCTTAGGGATATGGAGCATTGATATTTTTATGTTCCCGTTTCGGAAAAAAAAGTTCTGTTTAAGTAACCTTCCACATTTTAGAAACTTGCAGAACGCTTTCTTGAAAAAATATATAATTGTATTAAAGACAAGTTTTATTCGTTGATCTTTATAATATGAATCAAATATTACAATTATATTTATTAAATAAGTTAGAAAATCTAGAATTCTGGCTAATCCCTTTCGATTTTAATAAAAATTTGTAGGCACGTTATATATGTTGTACTAATATATGAAATAATATTTTTATCTCATTAGCAATTATTACCTGAGATAATGAAGATTGAAAGAAACAAAAATCGGCTTTTTAAATTTTTTACTTATGTTAAATTTTATAGTTCAAATATTGAATCAAAGTCATTAATTGATAATTATGTGGGAAACATCAAAATTAAATTATTTTAAATATTGGTAGTCTTATGTCCATTTCAAAATTAAAAATTAATATTCGAATATATTATGAGCATCAATTTTCATTTTCGAACAATTTCATTGACAAAAGTAAAATCTATATATATAATCACCGTAATCAAGAAATGAACGTTTTCGTATATCCTTAATGTTAATTTTTATTTTTCCAACTTTCCTATCTTCTTAATGTTAATTTTTATTTTTCCTATCTTCTTAATGTTAAATAAATCGATGGAGACTATATCTTTCTAATGTTAAATTTTTTGTAAATAATGGGATTCGAACCCATGACTTAACGTTTTAAAGGCAAGCGTTCTTCCCACTCAGCCACCTTCTATATGATATTTTGTAATATAATCTTTCTTATATACTTTATTATTTTGCTGTTATTTTTATTGGCTTATTAATGTCTTATTTCATTGGTTTAAATTTATTTTCTTTGTTTTATTAATTAATTAATCAAAATGATTTTTAAGAAGATCACAACCTTTTTAAATTTACCAATTTTTAATCAAAGTATAAATTATTTCTTACTCTGTCAATTAAAATTATTATATAAATAAAATTTAATATTATAATTTATATAATAGAATTTTCCTACATATTTCAGGAAAAAACAGTAGGATGAATGAAATATTTGAATTTGAACAAGTTAAAAATCTAATAATATGATAAGAATGAATATTATTAAATTTAAAATCAATTAATGTTTATAAGTTAAATTAAACTAATTATGATTTGTGAGTGTTAATAATAAAGTAGTAAGTAGTGTTGCGTAATCGGCTAAAAACTAAGCCTAAAAATCGGCTAAGCCTATATAAATCTGCTAAAATTAAATTAGTCAAAATTCTGCATCGATGCTTAATATTAATTATTATTTATTTATTTTAGTAAAATAATTTATTTTATTTATATTTTATTATTATCAACAAATAAACATGATATGATTTAATATTTTTTATTTATATTATTATATTTTGAAATGAAAATAAATTTATTTATTTGATGTTATTTTAATAAAAAAAATAATATGCTGCTATATTGTAAAATTTTAATATAATTTATTAGTGATTTTCACAATCTTCTTTATAAATACATCTTTTATTGAGGAATTATATTGTAAAGTTTATTAGATAAATAAACAATCTTTTATGTGAAATATTTTATAATTTTTTTAAAATTATCTATTTTTTTATTAAATGAGGTGGATTTTATGAAACTTTTTTTGATGATTTTATATGATCTTTTTAAGGTTAATATTTTAATGTGACAATTGTCATAATCGTTATTTTATAAGTTTTTTGAATTTTTTTGAAGAAAATAGGTTAAAATAAGTATTAATAACATGTGTAAATATAAATTTAGTGAAGATGTACCAAAGAAAAGTGACAATTGTCATAATCGTTATTTTTAAAGTTTTTTGAATTTTTTTGACGACAATATGTTAAAATAAGTATTAATAACATGTTTAAATAAAAATTTAGTGAAGATGTACTATAGAAAATTGACAATTGTCATAATCGTTATTTTTAAAGTTTTTTCAATTTTTTTGAAGAAAATATGTTAAAATTAGTATTAAAAACATGTTTAAATAAAGATTTAGTGAAGATGTACCATAGAAAAGTGACAATTGTCATAATCGTTATTTTTAAAGTTTTTTGATGAAAATATATTAAATTAAGTATTAATAACATGTGTAAATATAAATTTAGTGAAGATGTACCAATGAAAAGTGACAATTGTCATAATCGTTATTTTTAAAGTTTTTTGAATTTTTTTGACGAAAATATGTTAAAATAAGTATTAATAACATGTGTAAATATAAATTTAGTGAAGATGTACCAATGAAAAGTAACATTTGTCATAATCGTTATTTTTAAAGTTTTTTGAAGAAAATATGTTAAAATAAGTAGTAAAAACATGTTTAAATAAAAATTTAGTGAAGATGTACCATAGAAAAGTGATAATTATCGGTTCCATGTCAATTCAGCGAAACTTTTATCGCGAATGGATTTTATAGCAAAACTTTTATCGCGAATACTATTCCGCGAATGCAATATCACGAATTTTTTATAGCGAATACATTACCTCGAATACAATATCGCGAATTTTTTATAGCGAAACCTTTAATGCGAATACATTACCGCGAAACTTTTATCGCGAATCAATAATCGCGAAAATTTTATAGCGAAATCTTTATCGCGAAACCTTTAAAGCGAATACATTATCGCGAAAATTTTATAGAGAAGTTATTATCGCGAAACATATATCGTGAAGATATTATAGAGAATTTAATATCGCGATAATTGCTAATAATGACTAATTTATTTTGAATCACTTTTTTATAATTAAATTATTTGAATAATATTTTTTTAAAATAGGTTGAAGATTGATTCACAATGATAGTTTGTAATTTTCTTTTAACCTTAAAAAATTTATATAATGATTAATAAACTTAGATCTTGTTTATGAAATTTGTTATTGAAATACACTTTTTCGCTATCCTATCCTTTTCTTCGAAGTTCTTATTTTATAATAATCGCGCACAATGAACTCAGCTTTATCAATATATTAATCATTGAGTTTATTAGTTAAATCTTGATATTTACTGGCGAAATAGATATCTGGGTAGCATTCCTATTTAATGTCTGATGACCTAATTAGTGTTGTTAAACGGCTCTTTTTGAGCCGATTTTTAAAAACGACTAACTCAATATTTCATCCTGAATAATATTAAGCAAGACTGAAGATTTTGTTTGTAGAAGGAACAAAGGTTTGAACATCTATTAAAAAATCTCAAGGCTTAGGCAATATTTTTCTGGCTAAAATATTGAGTTAGCCGTTTTTAAAAATCGGCTCAAAATAAGCCGTTTAACAACACTAGACCTAATATTTATAAATTTATCAATCAATTTTGGCGAGGGTTAGCAGTCAGTCAATTAACCAGTCAAATGACTAGATTTTGACGGGTCAATTAAACGGGGGAATATTTGACCTGGTCATATAGTCAAATATTCTATAAGATCTGAATATAAAAATATGTTTGAAAAAGAAAAAACGATATAAATACATGTGATCACAATACTGCTATTTATTGAGTTCTTAATATTAAGAAGAGCATTTTACTCATAGTGAATTTAATGAAGTATGTAATATAATAAGAGAATTAGGCATACTACAGGTGGTGATCAAAATATTTCAAGTTATATTTTACGATCTTTAAAGATATCTTTTTATCTTTTCTGTTTATTTGGGAAGGGGGGGGGGTGCGTGATTTAGTATAATATCTCAGCATGAATCTCAATTAATTTAAATATAATATTTTGATTTGGGTTCTTATTGAATAAATAATTTTAAAATATAATAAAAATATAGCCACACTTATAAAAATTAACAAATAATTAATGACATAATTGATAAATTATAACTATTAAAAAAAAAGTATAGCCGAAATTTAAAAAAAAAAATTTCTCGTCTGGCTGGTGCCATTCCCTTGGTTATAAATTATAAATATTTTCGCCATTCTTTCCTCTTTATTTCAGAACCTTATAAAATACAATAATAAAAATTTTGTTTGTTTTTATATTATAGGCTCAAATTTTTTATATTTGCATTATTTTTTGTGACAAAAATATAGGAAGGTCTACTTTGGTATAAAATTTAGCAAGCTACATACCGACTCATTCGTCAAGATACAGATTTTATGAGGATATTTACAAATTCTATTATATGTGATCTTTCTCTACCACATCAATCCTACGATTAATATTTCAAAAATAACTACCTTTCGTCATACATTATAAAATTATTTTAAATTTCATATTCCTACCCCTTGAGTCATATAGTTGTTTTCCCTTACAAATATGATCACTTTTGATGAGCAACATTATTAGTAAAATATTATTATAAATACTCAAGTATTACACTAAAGGGCAAAGTTTAAAA